ATATCTCCTCAGCTAAGCAAAATCGCTCGACAAAATATATGTTTTTCTAAATTAAGGGAACCAGCTGGATCGAATGATGCAAAAAAATTTATATGTTAGTTGTATGTTAATTCATATGTTATTTAGTAACCTCCTAAATGCGTTTCCGAAAAGAATTCAGGAGTCGCTTGGCAAAACTTGAGTCTTGAAAATGGACGTTCTTTAAAATTCTCCTCTGCTTTTCATTTCTCATTAATGTTTAATCGATTCTTTGCAGACAACCACATGAATTATATCAGACAGCTGTCATCACTAATCGCATCATTTGAACACTTCACGCAATCAAATCCTATTTCTGTCTCTCTACAGAAAGCACAAGATCAATGAAGTGCAATATCTTGAGCTGTGATAAACTCAATGATTAATTGATGACAGAAGTTGACTGAGAAGTAAGCTGAGGCTGAGCATCATTATCTTCGTAATACATTAACACCTTATCACGAACAGTTCAGCGCACAAGCGATTGAAACATTTTATACAGCGCTTCTGTTAGACATTAATGCCACTCACATTGAAAGATACAATCTTTGGATTGCTAATTTACCTTTCTCTAATTGACGTAATAAAATTTACGCAAATAAACAAAATTCTTCGTTTATGATTGCAATCTTAGAGCCAGTGTTGCTTTTGTTGGTTTTGAGCACACCGAGCTGTTTGGTACTATGCGATTGTTTCGATGTACTGACCGGTCGACGCTATCCAGAGAAGTCCGTATGGGTTCGGAGTGAATTCTTTAATGTGACCTGTGAGAATGGACGAATGAAGGTTTGCTGTTGAACGATCGTAATTTCTTTCACTATAAAACGCACAAGATCAGTGAACTGGATGCTTACTTGAACTCTATTTTCTATTATTAAAAACTTTTTTTGACTGATTTGTAATGGCCAGCATCACGACAGCCTAGTGGCTGATTGCTTTCGATTCTGATCAGTTAAGATATGGTTTTGAGATGCGGGAAATCCGAGATTAGAAAATTTTCTGAAGGACACGGAATTGGAGATGCTCACAATGCAGACTAAACCAGTCGTGAGATGCAGTGAATTGTGTGGAGTTACGTTAAATTTCTGAAAAACTATTATCATTTAATTGCAGGTGTTAAATTGTATCAGTGATTTTGGAACGAGGATTCCGCTTCAGACGGATTCATTCTGGGAGAATAGCATTGAATATTCGTGCGTAGATGATGAAAGCGGTGAGCGAGGTTTGGACGGCAATGAAGCGTCCGGAGAGGAACCAACTTCAGAAGGGTGCACTGGTGACCGGACGGAATTCTTTGCGAATCATTTTGTTATTTCATGTATTACCAAAGAGTAAATAATTCTTTTTAAGTTCATATCTTTTAAAGTTTTTGAAATAAATGTGTCTCTTTTCGCACAATCACATACAAATCATTCATTCGAAATATTGTAATCATTTTGCTGAATTACACTTAAAATGTCACAAATACAGACTTTCAGAATAATCGCTTGTGTTGATAAAAATGGTGATATTGTGCGCGGTGGGTTCTTCCTGCTCGACAATAATCAACTGAAATGGTGTTATATTTACAAGAACAGTAAACGTGCACGAATCGAAAACAAAGGTTTGACAAATTTCAAAATTTTTTTTCAACTGATATCTTGAACGTTCAGTAAGTTTTGCATGTTCTCAGGATGTTTCAATGGGACTGATTATGACGATGTGACCGATGAATC